CTTTTAGCTTTTCGAAGAGAATTTTAAAATACAGGAGTTTTGTATTTTTTTAGAGAACACATTAAAAGTGAATAAATAAAAACAACAAAATCTCAGTATGTATAAAATAAATGAATTACAGCATGTAAAAAGCGCTTTCTACGGGACCAACTCGTGCGAAAATCCCGTACGCGCGCTCTTTTCATGAAGTAATCTCTATGCACCAGATAGACTAGATTATTTTCCACTTCAAACCAACGTGCTAGTGCGTGGCAGAGTGCAAGGGATTAGCTGTAGATATGGTCTGGGGGCCGGCTAGTCTCTCCCCTGATGCTTCGGCTAGAACACTATCCTGCGTAATCCGTACACCCAAGGGCAGAGGGATTTAATCGCCGTCATGTCCGAAGTCCATACGATGACCCAGCGGATGTCTCGGGGTATGGCATGAAGGCACTACTTTCTTTTCTTTTTTGGAATTAATTATCTAATTAAAGTTGGTGGACGTGGGTTCGATTCCCACCGTATTAAAGGTACTTTTTTTTCTTCTTCATCGTTTCCTCTAGCCTTGTATCTTTTTTTATTTTTTTTTATAAGCGACTACCATTAATTCAAGAAAATGAGGATTATTATTTTTCTTCTTTAGAAAGGATGTCTACTTTTTTGCTAGCACAGCATTAACAGAAGCGATCTTTGTAAGCGGAAAAAGTCGAGCTATGCTTTCCTGGTTTTAAAAAACTGTCTGGGAGCAGTTGATTGAAAATAGCTTTTACTAAACATGGATTCTCAGTCTTATAGTCGTTACATGTTATAGCGGAGCACCATACAAAAAAAATTGGTAACCCATCAAGTTGATTTTTCGTGGCTTAAATAGATCAAACATCTGTAGTTAACTTTCGTTTTTCGAGAAAAAATAACCAGCAATAGCCGACTTGCACTAACAGTTCACGTGACCATACCTCTCTTGAAACGAGCAGTTGTGTGAAAACCACTTAGAAATGAAAAGAGCAGCTTAACAATAGTAACATGGAGAAGTTTCAGCTCATAATGTTGACTATAGGATAAATTAAATATAAAATGGAATATTTTGTAAGGATTCATGTGGGGAAAATGTGCTTGATGACAAAGCTTTGCAATTAACAAATAAAATACATTTACTGTGTTTGCTCACGCTAATGCTAACCGAGATGTGGTTGGGAGAGTTCGAGAGCAGATCAGTGCAAACACGAGCCGTAGGCGAGTGTTTGCACCTGCTCGAAAATTCTCCCAACCACATCAAAACTGAAATAACAAAACACGATTAAATAAAACAGAAGAATTTAATTCAAAGCTTTAAATACAAATTCTCCTTACAAAATTGTGCATCTGCAATAACCAATCAGATTGCGCGAAAGAAGACCCTTAACCAATCAAATTGCGCGTTTTATACACGCCTCCAAGCATGAAATTCAAGTTGAAAATTTCTTATTTCAAAACGAGAAGAAGCCAAACTTTAGCGACTTTCTCCCTTGAGAAAGAAGCTTTTACAAGCAAATCTTGATAAAATAATAATTGCAAAGC